ACCAAAAACCCGGACTTAAAAAAATCTACTAACTGAACCTTAAAAGTGAATTTTTCTTTAACCCTCAAGGACTATCGCCTGGGTGGAATCCACCCATAAAGCTGAATTTCTGAGAGAAGTTTATAATTTTTCATGAAAATCCAAACTAAATTATAATGTAATCCTCATTTAAATAGCTATTGATATAAAAAAGTATTATCTACAGCTACTAGTATGGTAATTTTTACATAAAGCAGGTTTATTGAAAGCCTTGGGTGGTTTACACCCTCGATAGTAATGGCGATCCAAAATTGTGGGTGTTTTACACCCACGATAGTTCTCAGTATTGCAATATATCAGTATAAAATAGTATTATATTTTCGTTGGAATTGGTACACAAAAGGTACGGCAGTGGCAGATAATCAGCGCTGCTCAAAAACAAAAATATCTCTTTCCAGTCAAATATCTCTTTGCTTATTTAAATCAAGAACAGAACAGTGTTAAGTTATTATTTATACAAATACTAGCTGGCCCGGTCCGCGTTGCCGGCCCCTACTTTTAGTCTTTAATGCATATTTTTTTAAGCATTATAGAATTATGAAAGCGGCACAATTTTTGTTATAAGTAAAATAACTCCATAGTAATTTCTAAATAGAAATAAACATTCATGGGAAAAATTATAATAGATAATAATCTACCGTCGGTTTTAGATATTTTGAATAGCCTGATCTTATTTTTCAGCCTAAGGCTATAATTGAGTGTTAAAAACCTGTATGATATAGAACTTCTATAATAGCCCCATGTGAAAACTCAGCTAAATTTTTGGTATTGAATTTCCAATGTTAAGAATACCGTGCTGCGTGGTATTTAGTTTTGTCCACCTCATAATTGAGAGCGGAATGATTTCAAAATAGTCAAAGATAATTGCTTTTTTACACCCATTACCGTGAAATATTAATTAATTTATTTTTGTCATTTAAATTGTGAGTTGGAGAGCCCATAAAGTCCACATTTTTCATCATAGTATAATTCAATAACGAACAAAAAATTAATATTCGTGATTTTTTCATGTTTCTGCCACAATTTGATATTTCGGAGTTTATGGCATGTAGATGTTAATCCCACATCTACGTTCCCAACCAATATTCTCTTGGGAGTTTCAAATTCAATAGTATATCAAATTTTCTTTTCTGACCAAACATTGGTTAGGAAAGCGGATTTGTGGGTACACTAATGTGAGAACTATACTCGAATAAATGCCTATGTGGACAATTATCTGAGGGACGATTCTCTACCCCAGAGTTGCCTAAATACAATTTTTTAGCCAAATCAATTGATGAATGTGGTCAAGACCAAGATGGACTCTACTCCGAAAATTGAAAATATTATGAGAAGAGGTTTTTTACACCCTTAGAAACAAAGATGCCAAATAAAGGCCTAAAGATGAAAAAAATGTCGAAGACCCCGAACATGGCTTAAATTAAATGATGGTTATACCAAAACATGATCATATTTTGCGAGGATGGTTTCTTATCAAATTAAAATGAGTGTGAGAAAAATGTGGTTAAAATGTAAACAATACTTGAAATAAGGTTGTACCCTTATCCGGGGGTCATATATCATGACCTGCAAAAGCGATTTAAGACATCTTGAAAGTTTAGGAAGAATTTCTTTCTTTTTTCCTAAATGTCCAATTCGCTCTACCATTTTGCACCCTTTATATTCGGTATTTCACTGACTGCAGTTCCAATGAATTGCATTTTGAGTTCTCATTGGGCGGATTATTGCCATATGAAAGATGTAGGTCCACGTAGGTCACTCATTTTATTTTAAATATTATTCATTCAGATTTCAAGGCAATAAAAAATGTTCACTTCAATATAGTATGTCAAATTGAAAAAAATCACACCAAAAAGAAATTTTTTATTAATATTTTTATTGGATACCATTCCAAAATTGTATGAATTGTCAAGCCGTTCTTTAGTTATACCTTATGTAATTTTTCCCCGATTTGAGAATTTTTGGAATGAGATCTCTTTTTTCAAGATTTTTAGAAATTTTGACTTAAATTTGGTGTGACCGCGTTAAATTATTTCGATAACATCTATTTCGTTTCGCCACCACATAATTTGGTACTACACTTCAATGTAACCCGGCTTCTATTTCAGTTCTCAAGAAATCGAGTCAAAATAAATTGGTATTAATATTCGAATCAAAAAGAAAAAAAAAATATTATAAAAAACACTACAAATGTACATTCGAAAAAAGTAAGTCAAAATAGAAAAAAAACATACAAAATAAAACATTACGATTGTACATTTCAGAAGTCGGAATGAAAATGTTAATATATCACATTTTTACGCGATTTTTTTGAATATTATCCTTTTCGGAAAAGAGACAATTCAGAATTTGTATGAATCGTTAAAATCAGATCAGCGGTTCTTGAGTTATAAGCGTAGTAACTAACACAACTTACATTTATATATATAGATTTTATATCAATTTGCTATAAAATAATTTTGACAAACATTCATGTTTAAAATCAGTTAAATGGAATCGTAAAATATAAAGAAAAACAGAATTCTAATTTTCTCTTAAATTATCTCTTTCTTCTGCTCATGTTCTAGAGCACGGGTTTGAGCAGGGCTGCAGATAATGAATGAAATATTTATCTTCCAAAACGGAATAAGTGTGTTTTGTTGCTCTCTACATTTCATAGAGATGGAAAAATACTGGATGGTCCAAAGTGTTTACCAGAGATTGTTGAATTTTACAATAAAACTAAAGGTGGAGTCGATACGACTGACCAGTTATGTGCTACATATAATGTTGCCAGAACTTCAAATCGCTGGTCTTTGGTGGTAATCTATTCACTTATGAGCTTGGCTGCCATAAATGCACGTATAGTTTTGTTATGCACTAAAAATCCACCACTGAAATATAAAAGGCGATCTCTTTTTATAAAAGATCTTGCATTCAGTCTCATTGCACCACAGATAGAAAAGCGTAGCAAAATTAGCACATTATCAAATAACCTAAAATTAAGCTGTCAAAAATTTGCGAAGAAGTTCTGTGCTAACATTGACGAACAGCAGAACATACCTCCACCAGCCAAAAGACTTAAACAATCCCGCTGCCAGGTATGCGGTAATGCGAAGGATCGAAAAACTAAGACGACATGCTGCAATAGTGAAATTTTTATTTGCAACAGTCACACCAACCCTCTTTGTACGTACTGCTATGGACCAGCTTTGCAAGATACGAACTTAATATATGACGATATGTTTACATGCTGTAATGAGTAACTTAAATTTATAAGTATTTAGATCACGTTTAAGAAAAAAATTTACTTTATGCCAAAAAAAATATTAAATAAATTTTTCTTTTATATATTCTCAGCTTTCCAAATTAGTCCGTTAAAGGATCATGATGCAAAAACTCAAGAAGTTGGAGCTAATTTTGCAAAGTGCATTTTTAATTTTTTTATTTTTTTCTCTTATTGTTATATTCCTAACCAAATCAGTAAATAAAATAAAATAAGTGAATTAAACATAGAATTTTGCTGTTTTTCAGTAGTTGGGTATTCATTCTTAAAAACAAATCAATTATTATATAAGTTTCGCTTGTCATTTGAGAAAACCAAATACTAACGTTGTATGGGTGGAAACCACCCATCTATAGTACTGACGTAAGTAAAATAGACGATAGTATTCGAGGGTTAAAGACTATCCGAGCCGTAAACGTAAATTTTTTATAAGATTTTTTTTGTTGAGCCATAAACGTAAATTCTTTAAAGTTTTTGTCGGAGCCGTAAATGTGTTTTTTAAAGAATTTTCATAAATGTAGATTTATAAAATAGTTTTTTAAAGGGCTATCTGAGCCATAAACGTGGATTTTTTAATAGAATTTTTTCAAGGACATTTTGAGCCATGAATCTGTTTTTTTTTTAATACTATTTTTAAGGACTACTTATCTGTAAATGTACATTTTTAAGGTTTTTTTTTTTTTTTTTTAAATACATCCTGGGCCAAAAACGTGGATTTTTTAGAAGAATTTTTTAACGATTATTTAATAAAAAATTTTTAAAAATAAAGAAGATCTTCAGTTCACATGGATCTCTGTTTTTTGTATTGGAATTTCTTCATAATCAATGAATACACGTGACTTATAAATTACAGACTTTTTCATTCAATTACAATGACATATGATTTATTATCCAATATTAATTTTTATAATTGAAAAAAAAATAGGTGACATTCGATTAGGTAGAATTTTTATTCGAATAATAAATTAATGGCTTGTTTGAGCAGAGCCATTTCACAATTGAGTTAGCAGAAATGCAGACCACAAGTCCACCACATCAGTGTCCTTGTAGATTTCCCAGCTAACTATCTACCCATCTTAAAGATAATGCAGTGCACTTTTATGACTCTATGACTCAGAATTTTTGTTTGCTGTCAACGGCTGATATCAAATTGTTTTCGAATTGAAACTCAAAAATTTTCCAATTCAAAGTATAATTAAAAACAAATATTTCTAGAAGACACCATCCATTCCAATGTCCATGCAATTTTGTTAACTTCCAAATTTTGCTCGGACGACAATAAAAACAAACAACATAAAAAATAAGAGATAAGAAAATAACACTTATTGAGGTAGGTTTAAAAAAACAAAAATAATTCAATTTGTCTTCGAAATGCGGGGTACATGACCGGGCCGTACGCCAGCAATTAATGGTAATGGATGCAGTGATCAAAAACAACAACATTTGCTAATCTATGGATGCAGGAAAAATACACATCGACCAACCTCTGACAATAAAAATTCCATTGGGGGGATATAGAAATTATTATTCTCTCTCACTCCCCTTGGTCAATGACCTCTTCCATAAACTTGAACTTGAAAAAAAGGCTGGAAACAACAATAAATGATAACCACTTAATAGAGCAACAGCCAGACGCAGTAAACAACAAAAAATTGATTTATTTTTTTAATTTGTTTTTATTTTTCTACTTTTTCAGATGTTCTGGCGTCTCCGGCAATGTCCGTGTCAACGGTACACCCATTGCCACCACATCACAGAAATTTCGTGAATTATCATGTTACATACATCAGGATGATCTGTTGCGCCCCCAGTTGACGGTGGGCGAGACAATGATGCTTGCCACCCATCTAAAGTTGGGTTTTAAGATCTCGAAACAGGAAAAGGTGCGGCTGGTGAAGCATATCCTTTCGCTGTTGGGTCTCGAACATCGTTACAATGTCAAGGCCGGCAAGCTGTCTGGTGGCCAAAAGAAACGTCTCGCCATTGCGCTGGAGTTGATAAGCAATCCATCAGTTTTGTATTTGGACGAACCAACAACGTGAGTAATTTTCTTTTTAATTTTACCAGGTTCAGTAGGGGGAAGACCTAGAGGTCTCGGCGGGTATATTCATAAAGGTTATCTGAAATTACATTTGTCAATAGAGGATCTTTAAAGGGAGTCGTTTTAATGTATCCCAGCAAGGATACTCAATACAAATCTGTTTACCAACCCATTACTTTAATAGGGGAATTCTTGCACGAAAGAAGTAGTTATTTTCAGGTCTCTAAAAGTCGATACTTTTAGTGACCAAAGTCAATAAATAAGTACTTTTTTAATCGAATTTCAGTGGCCAAAGGTAAGGTCAAAGATATGTCATTACTACATAACTTGTAACTATCTCACTCGGGGACCTGGGGGATCTCAAAGTCTAATGCTGCGAACACTTTCTTACCGTTTCATCCGTTTTCTCATTACCCTCAATATTAAAACGACCAGGTACCCAACAAAGTCCGAGAGTAATTTGTAGATTTTCCATATCTAATATTCAGGACTGCATTTTCACTTCTTTCATTCAATTTCTACGAACCGGAAATTCTTAGTTGCTCACAGAAGACTGTGGCTCATGTGCCTTCCTTCTTCTGTACAGGGTGGGATAAAAAAACTGCAACAAAGTGAATGAAAGCAAAAAAAATGTCAGAAATAGCATCAAATATTAGAATAAGTTTAGATTTGTAGAATTGGTCACCTTTAGCACAAAATATGGCCTTCAAACGGCCAAAGAAGCCGCCATACGCCACAATGTTGCTCTGCGGTATTTTGGCCCATTCCGGGCGAAGTGCTTGCTTGAGATGATCGACACTTTGGTATTTTTTAGTGCCAACCTTGCATTCCAAAATACTCTCGGCACAATGGTCCAACGGATTGGTATCCGGAGATTTTATTGAATGAAAGCAAACAATTTCGGAAATTGCATCAAATTTTAGTATAAGTTTAGGTTTGTACGAATTGGTCAGCTTTGACACGAATTATGGTCTTCAAACGGCCAATGAAACCGTCACACGCTGTCCGAATGTTGCTCTGCGGTATTTTGGTCCATTTCCGGCGAAGCGCTTGCTTGAGGTGATCGATACTTTGGTATTTTTTAGTGCCAACTTTACTTTCCAAAATACTCCAGACACAATAGTCTAACGGATTGGTATCCGGAGATTTTGATGGCCATTGTGCGCTGGAAATGAAGCGGGGAACCTTATTCTGTAATCATTCTTGGGTGGCCATTCTTGGTTGAGTGCGATGATGCTGAGTACTGTTGGAATGTCCAAGGTCTGAGGCCAAAATGTTTGCGTGCCCAAAGCATTAATACACCCTCCAGAATATTTTCGTCATAATATTCGGCATTTATTCTAATGCCACGGTCGATTAATACGAGCGGAGAGCGACCATCGGCTGTTATGGTGGCTCACACCATCACCATGGCCGGCGCTTGAGTTCTGGTGACCAACCGAAGGTCCCCATTTTAAGCTGACCTTTTTCTTTACAAACTGCTGGACAACGAATGATTTCTCATCGGAGAAAACTAAATTCGGCAGTTCACCACTTTCGGTCAAGCGAAGCAACTCTTTAGCTCTTTTGTGTCTATTTTCTTTCTGTTGCGGTGTAAGTTCTGACACTTTTTGGAATTTCAATGGCTTTACCCCGAGCTACTTTTTCAATATTTGCCGAATGGAACATTGCAATATGTTCAGCTCACGAGCCATTTTTCGGCCACTGCGACGCCGGTTTCGATCAAGCCGCTTCTTTACTTTTCGAACCATTTCTGCTGATGTTGCTGTTTTCTTCCGTCTACTTCCTTGACGTCGGGCTACGCTATTAGTATCATGGTAACGAGCGATGGTACGAGACACAAAAGATTTATTCACATTTAAATGCTGGAGTGCTCTAACGATAGCCACTTGTGGTTTTCCAGCCAAATATAAAGAAATCACACTATCACGCTTGAATTCCAGCACGAATAACTTTTTTTCTTGTAAACAATATAATGAGCTGTCACTGGAATAATTTTAACAGCTGTCGGACGAGTGACTTAGAAATGTCAGTAATCTGAAGTTGGTTGCAGTTTTTTTTTTATCTCACCCTGTATTTACTCATTACTTGGTTAGAGCTAAAAAGCTTCCCATAAAAAGTGGCGCCCAACGTGTTTACGTTTCAAATAATCATCTATGGCAATTAAGTGTGATTGTCACGAATGTTTTGTGAATTTGTGCACTGAAATAAATTACAACAAATGTTGAGGTACATTTTATAATTTATAAGATATTTCAAATCTCTAAATATTTATCAATAAAAAAAATATCCCAACATTTGATGAAATAAATTATAGTTCGTCAAAAACAACAAAACATTCGTGACAATCGCACGTTATCGCCATGAATGAATATTTGAAACGTCAACACGTTGGTTATAGTTTTCGCCAACAACACGCCCAACTTTTACACGAAATCTGTGTATTATTATGACAGCTATTTGTGTTGAAATTATTGCAGTTCTCTCTGTCCCTCTAAACGTCATGCAGCCATTGTTTTTTTTTGTGTTCCACTTTCAATGAAATTTGAATGCCTGAGCAGAGGTATTGTGTGTGTGGGGCAAGTTTGCAATTTAAATAGAAAATCAATTTTTAAATGTTAAAATTAAAACCAAAACAAAAAACGGAAATGATTGTCACATTGACGTATTGAACGTATTGTCATGCTTAATGCGGTGGGGAGGTGTTACTTTGGAATTGTATGCAAATGTGTTGGGGAAATTTCAATTTAGCTTTCCTAGGAATAGTCGTGTCCGAATATTTAAATATCTGCAATGAGAAAACAAAACACACTTCCACATGTTTTTTTATGGTTTACCTTGTCTTGCTGTCTTCGTACAGTTTGTGGATGGATATGTTTATTTACTAATTTGGGGAGTTTAAATCTCCCTCTCTCTCTCAGTTCTTTCTCTCTAAAAAAATCGGTGTTATCAATGCTAGGTGAGTGACTTGCATTTACGGCATAATAGAACTGTTTCATAAAGTTTGTTTTTGTTCTCCCATTCTGTCTTAAACTAAATTATCGTAGACTTCTACACAAGACATTAATTCGAAATTCCTAAGTAATTAATCCACCGTGTCCGCGTAATTTATTAAATGCTTTTCCTGCAATTACTACTTATCTGAAGCAATTTGTGGTGATCTCTTTAAATGGCTTACATAACAACCATTTTCACACAATTTCATAACAGGTCAATTTCTTTGGTACCTCCCTCCTTTGTTTCTCTTAATTAGCAATAGAACAATTATTGATATCGACTATTGTCTATTGAAAAAAATCGATTTAATCGGTTCAGACCCAATTAAATATGTTAATCTTTGTCTGTTTCAATTACAAGAAACAGATATGAACTTTTTTTCTGAATAAAGGAAATAGATCAATGGCTAATTTCCTCTATCTCCCCCCCCCCTCTCTCTCTCTCTCTCTTTCTCTGTCTCTCTCCAAATTTAAGCAGACAAAATAAATGGCAATCTTTTCTGATGTGTACTTTCCACACAGTCCGTTGAAGATTACGATTTAATACCCATCCAAATGTACAGGGTGAAATGAAAAAACCGCAAGCAACTTCAGACTGCTGTCATTTCTAAGCCACTCGTCCGACAGCTGTTAAAATTATTCCAGTGACAGTTCATTATATTGTTTACAAGCGTACAAAAGCATTTTGGCGAGAATTTTCCAGAAAACAAGTTATTCGTGATAGAATTCAAGCGTGATAGTATGATTTCTTTATATTTGGCTGGAAAACCACAAGTGGCTATCGTTAGAGCACTTCAGCATTTAAATGTGAATAAATCTTTTCTGTCTCGTACCATCGTTCGTTACCGTGATACTGGTAGCCTAGCCGGATGTCAAGGAAGTCGTCGCTGTGGCCAAAAAATGGCTCGTGAGTTGAATATATCGCAATATTCTGTTCGGAAATATTAACAAATGAGCTCGGGGTAAAGCCATTGAAATTCCAAAAAAGTGCAAGAACTTACACCGCAACAGAAAGAAAATAGACTCAAAAGAGCTAAAGATTTGCTCCGCTTGCCCGAAAGTGGTGAACGGCCGAATTTGGGTTTCTCCGGTGGGAAAACATTCGTTGTCCAGCAGTTTGTAAACAAACAAAATTAATGTGTTTACTTACCAAAGAGGTCAGCTGCCACCCAAGAATGGTTACTAAATGAGGTTCCTCGCTTCGCGCACAATCGCCACCAAAATCTTCGGATACCAATCCGTTGGACTATTTGTGTCTGGAGTATTTTGGCTTGCTTTCCAAAATGGCAATAAAAAATACAAAAATGCCGATTACCTCAAGCAAGCGCTTCGTTGGGAATGGGCCAAAATACCGCTGAGCAACATTCGGGCAGCGTGTGACGGTTTCATTGGCCCCTTGAAGGCCATAATTCGTGCCAAAGGTGACCAATTCTAACAAGTCTAAATTTATTCTAAAATTTGATGCTATTTCTGACATGATGCTTTCATTCAATAAAACTTAAAAAAAAAAATGTAAAAATTATGGCGTTTGACTTTGTTGCAGTTTTTTTATCTCACCCTGTATATGGGATTTATATCCAAGTGCGAGGTATCGAAACAGATTTGGCCAGATCTCCTTGTTTGGAACACAGTCTCTACTTTTTATAAGATCATCCAAATGGGACAACTCTAACATTGAATAATGCAGGTTGTATGGAAGAACACTCGAATCTTGATCTTAGGGAACATTCAGACATAGATCCCATTATAATCTATAACCTTCAAATAACCACAAAGGCTACATTGGCTCTGGCGTCGAAGTTGTACATGACTCTTCTCGATGTCTTTTCCAACTTCATCTTCCAAGCTTTAAATACTTTTTTTTTTTGTTTTCTTTTGAACCAAAAGTTGGGAACATTTTCTGGCTATGCACCCTTTAACCTAACCTACCCTACCTGTTTTCACAATGATATGACATGACTCTAGCTGTAATAATATTTTAAGGTTATTTGTTTATGAACG